GAGAAGATATTACTCTGAAAACTAGCGTACTGGGCTTTGGGGGTTTCAAAGTTCTTGCAACATATTCAGTGATTTATGGATATTTTTGTCAAATTTTCAGCGGAATTTAAACGTTATCACTTTCAAAATATTTTTGTGATTTTCGGGGATTTTTAAGCATTTTGTGAGATCTCTTTTGGATTTTTATAAGGATGTCACAATTAATGCTCGCAGGATTTCGGATTTTTTTCGAAGATTTTCTGGAAGTTTTGCCGAAGAAGTGCTATAGTCTCAATGACCTTTGCCGGCTTTGGAGTTTCAGACGATACCTCGCCTTGCGTCAAAACGAATTCGTGTTAAAAGTGCTCGACCAACAAAAAATAAATTCACTCTACGTCTCTAGGCAATAAAACATCCAGTGGTGTAGTAAGAGGGTGGTATTGAAGGGTTATTTTCGTGAGCCGTGAATTGCTAATATTTGTTCCAGTGAAATGTGAAAGTCACGGACTTTTGTGTGTTGTGAAACGTAATTTACATGTCTAGCCGTGAGTGCCGATAATTTTTGTCCTGGAAACGATAATTGATTTGAAGTCGGTAGATCAAAGACTGGACAAGCAGTGAGAAGTGTGAACGTAAAGAAGAGTTTGGATGTAACAATTTTACTGCATACATCTATGTTCTGATTATTCTTGAACTTCAGTCAATCGGCCTATGAGAAAAATGAAGCCAAAATGGCGGAATTGATTCCAATACCTATGAAGGTCGTAAACATGCAGTTTTAATACCATTTTCCCAGGTAATTCCAGTTGTTTCTAACGGGCTGCATCGCTTAAGTCCGTTAGTAAAATCATAGTGTTATTCCCTGGGAGGCCCCACGGATGGACTTTTTATCTAGGTTCAATAGTCAGAACACCATCCTAAATATAAGGAAAAATAGCGGTGCGACCTTAAAAATCGAACAGAAAAAATTAGAGTAGCTGTGTTTTAATTAAATGTACTTATTATTAAATTATTATTAAACATTAAATTAGCAAATCTTATTTAATTAGCAAAAATTTGTTATATTTTCAAAAGATTATAGCAGTCTTGGTAAAAATCTTAAGGGGACTCCAGCCCCCAAACTATAGTGAATGGAAATTTCAATAAAACAACTGAAACTACAATAAAATAATTCCGTGCAACAAAAGATACCAGTAAAATCCAAGGTATAAAGTACAATGAAAGTAAAATCATGATACGCCATTTGTGTGATTTTCAATGGCCCCATTTTATTTTCCCTTGTTTGAGCTTGCCAAGGCGCACGATCATTCGAACGGTGCATCTTCGTTATCTGGAATGCAGAACGGTGGGTGCTCGCCGGAGTCATCACAAATACCCGGACCTCCAGTAGAGCATATTGGAGAACATTGTTCTGGTGGAGTCGGGTCGGTTGGGACACAAGAAGAATAATCTTTAATGCACTCCTGAAATAACAAAAGTTTTTGTTAGAAACGGTAAAGTCCGAATCGACTTAGCAAGATGTACTAAAATGTAAACAACGGTCGGTGCCAGATGTAGGTAGATACGATAACAGACAGTTGAAAAACAAGTACCTGAAAAATATATGCTGAACTTCGACATCTCGAGTGAAGGCCCTTCACCTTCGGGAAGTTATATTATCAAACCATAGCTCATTATGTTTGGCAGCATGTTATCAAATCGTAGCTCATTATGTTTGGCTATAAATGAGATATCATTTTCAGGTAGCTCAGACACAAACCATGCACGACAGCTTATTGTAGAATACGACCTACACTGCCCCCCTCCCCCAAGTTTGAGATATATTTTTCAGGTAGTTCAGACACAAACCACAGCAGCTTATTGTAGAATACTACCTACACTGGACCAACACGTTTGAGATATATCTTTTTCAGGTAGTTCAGACACTGCACATCACGACAGCACACATTGGCGTAGGAAGGGGGGGCACTGGGGGCACGTGCCCCTCCCCCCCCCCCATGTGTTCAAAAGTGCCTTTTTTTGGTGTCAAAAGTGCCCTTCTGGCAACGTTAAAAATTTCGTTGAGATTGAAAAATTTTTTATTTTCGGAAAAAATTATCATATGTCCGAACAAAATTTTCTTATTTTCGAAAAAAATTATGATATTTCCGGAAAAATTTTCTTATTTTCGGAAAAAATTCGATGTCCGGAAAAAATTATGACATGTCCGGAAAAATTTTTGAGTAGAGGAATCCCCTCCCCCCCGTCGGCAACATTTCCGGGAAAAATTTTTTAGGTGTCCTTTTCTTTCGAAAAGCGCCCCTCGAAACCGCCCACCCAACTTTTTGATGCTTCTTACGCCCCTGGCAGCACATGAGACTGAGAAACTTGCTGAGCTAACCGCCTCGCCTGGCGGCTAGCTCAGCTATGCATTTTCACCGCACACGTTGGGAAAACTTCTCAACAACAACATAATTGACAAAATCGTTTGCATTTTCCTCCATTGTATTCAAAGTCACATGAAGAAACTATCATGGTTTCTCATTGGCTTAATGTACTAAAGCTCACAACATCCGCAAACGTTGAGACTTTTTCCTCGCGAGGTGAAAAATATCAAACACGATAGATTTTTTCCTCAAGGCCTCGAGAGGTCAAATCCTCACGAAAACTATCCGCACACGAGAGAAACTTGCTGTGCTAGTTGCCACGCGAGGCGGTTAGCTCGGCAAGTTGCTCTCGTGTGCGGCAGGCTTATTGTTGAGGACCTACACTGCCCCCGCCAAGTTTCATAAACAACGACAGCTTATAATTGACTGCAGAATACTACCTATACTGGATCCCACGGTTGAGTATCTTTTTCAGGTAGTTCAGACATAATTAAACCATGCACGACAGCTTATTGTAGAAGATTACCTACACTGAACCACCATGTTTGAGATATCATTTTCAGGTAGTTTAGACACAAACCACGACAGCTTACTGACTGTAGAATACTACGTACACCGAATTACCATGTTTGATATCTTTTTCATGTCGGTTCAGACACAAACCACGGCAGCTTATTGTGGTCAGGAATACTATCTACACGGCTGAACCACCATGTTTGAGATGTCATTTTCAGGTAGTTTAGACACAAACCACGACAGCTTATTGACTGTAAAATACCACCTACATTGGATCACTACGTTTGAGATATCCTTTTTAGGTAGTTCATAAAATTATACAGATCACGCGGCAGCTTATCGCGAGTACGACCTACACTGGCTCCCCTAGCCTGCGAACAGGCTCTCAAACTGAATTGAGAGCCTGCATCGATGACTAATGAATTTGAATATCTGCCCCGTAACGTTCGTTTTTCCAAATATGGAATGTCTATCCTTATATGGTGTTGTTTACAACTTTCGTGCAAACTAAATTTAGACCGTGCAAACTAAATTTAGACCGTGCAAACTAAATTTAGACCGTACAGTTTATACTGTTTTTCGAAATATAAGATATTCAAGCAAAAGTTCGAATGTTTTAAATACTGTTTTCTCAAAACAGAACATTTCGTGCTTTGAGATAAGACGGCCAAGACCAATTTGATCAGTTAATGTGTTTTTTTTATGCATAGTGCTTCAGCAGTTGACATATATGGAGCTCAGCGGAAACATATAAATTATAGCATCTGACCAATGAGAATTTCGCGTCACGATTTGAGACGCAGATATTCAAATTCATTAGTCATCGATGCAGGCTCTCAATTCAGCTTGAGAGCCTGTTCGCAGGCTACCGTCGGAGCGCAGCCGTTTAGCCAATCGAATGGCGTATATCGACCGGTTTACTCTCATTGAGAAAACTCTGACCACCGGTTTACTCATAATTGCGGGCGGTTATGTGTGATTCATGTGATGTTTCAGTCCACGACCCACGATACATTAGCAGATTATTTGTCTAGTATTACAACATTTCGTAAGAGGAAACCAACGCGATAAGTCCTTAATTAAATCTAAATACGCTCGGTATTAATCCAGAATAAAAATTTCAATAAGAGTATTTAAATGGCGTTATAGATTAGACAACATCAAGTTTATGAAACAGAATATTCTTTAAATTAGTTATATATGTACATGGAAGGTTATAGATTTTCTTTCTTTGGAAAATCTGACAGGTTTATTATATAAACCTGTCAAACCTGTCTGAATCCGCCCCTGGCATATATATATATATATATATATATATATATATATATATATATATATATATATATATATATATATATATATATATATATATATATATATATAATCATATTTTGAGTTAAGGTGGCTCGATATAGTTATCACAAAAACCCTGTTCAAGAATCGCGAACTCAAAACCGGTTGACCATTTGATCATTAACAAAATGAAAGAACTTCCAAAATAACCTGACGTGAGCAGTTGCTCGCGCCATCTCACGCCATTGCGCGTGTTCTATAGCGTTTTATGTCAATTGCTGACGTCATTAGAATTTTCCATTTTAGAAAAACAATGCGCTATATCTCTTTATTTTGTCTGGTGACCTATGTTCAAATTTTGTATGCTGTATTGCACCGCTAAAAACTTTCATTATACAAAAAATAAAAAAATTCTGTAATGCCAAAAAAATTTTACCGAAGAATATGACATTTTCGCATTTTTCAAAAAAATGGCATTACAGAATTTTTTTATATTTTGCTAATTGTTAGCTTTTCGTCCAAGTAAAATAATGCAAGAAAAAAAATTGGGGGTCACCATGCTTCTTTTCCAAATATACGAGACGATCGGCCATTTTGGAGTGAATTTCGTGCACGTATGTCGTCATAGCAACGAACTATCTGTCACTAAAACTAATATAATTTGAAAGTAGAGATATCAAAATATAAAAAAAAAACAATATGTGCTGAATAAATCCTAAGAATGCGTAGTTTGAACATGTCAAAGTGTTAAACACCTGAATTTTTGAAAACTGTTTCGAGCCACCTTAAACAAATGTCAGAAAGTAACAAAATTCTTAGCCACAAAATGAGAATAAAGGCTGATTTCCACTGTTGCGTTTTTCATACGTACGTATACGCACGTAAAACTTTAAATCCGTTTAAATGTTACTTATGAAATAACCAAATAAATAAAGCAACAGAATTTAGTATTCCGCAAGTTTCAGTATGCATTTGTTAACTTATTTGTAAAATATTTAAAAAATAGAAGGATTCAAAGTTTTACTTGCATGTACGTGCGTACGAAAAACGCAACAGTGGAAATCAACCTTGACGAAGTAAAACGTTACTTCTTAAAACGACTTCGTTCCAAGTAAAAGTACTCCAGAAAAAGCTTACTTTGTTACACGCGACTTCTCAAAAAAGTACTCAACTACAGAAACGAAGTACATTTACTTCGTTACTTGACAACACTGAACCACGGGAGGATATCTACTACCTACACTGGATCGCATGTTTGAGATATAAAAACGTACCTGACTCATCGCGGAAAGCCCGAAAAGGATGAGTATCAGTCCAAGAACTTTACCCAATCTGCAAAATACCATTGTCACAATCACAATTTGTCTTTTGTAAAAAACTGTTGAATTCTGAATTGACTTTGCCTTCAACAGTGTGTTCAAAAGTAATGGCAATATAGTATTTTTAATTCCATCCCCGTTTTTATTTCATTACCGTGCGGAAACTGTGTATTGCACCTTTTTACAGACATGAAAGAGGACAGTATAATTATAAATTTAATTGATCTTCTCTTTAAGAACTTTAAGTGGTTATGATGAGCCATTAATGGTTAAAAGGTATTTAATACCCTTTCATGCAGCCATGAAATTTTAAAGGATAAAGAAATTTAACATCACAATTATGGTTGTTTTTGCCACGAAAGTCCTTCACGAACCGCTCCACATGTTGGTCTGATCGACATCATTGACATTGCATTGCATTGCACAAAATTATTTTCGGTAATAATGGCTGATGTTGGAAGATGTTGGATAGTTTTGACTTTTCTAATGTGAACTTGTACATATATTATGGCCGTTGCGAGCCAAGTGGGAAAAACGTTTTGCAAAAATTATGTGGTATTGTATATATAATGCATATAAAAATTTTCTTAGACTATTAAAATTTACGAAACCTCACCTTGGAGTACAAATATGCAAAGATTCACAAACTTAATTGAAAGAGTTCCTGGACTTTTCAGAATTGCATTTATCACGTGACCTACTGCATGTACCTTTAACTAAAATTTTCATTCAATGTCAACCGACACTGTTGGACCAGCGATGCTGCAGCATGGACAAGTTTTTAAACGAGCTTCAACTAAATCCAGGCCAGGGGCCGGTTCGATTAGCTTACAACCATTGGTTAGACTAAAACACGAAGCAAACATGCCAACAGTATGTTTATAAATTATGAAAATATTTCTTCAGAAATCTTGTCTGAATTAGTAGGAGTTTCTTCTCGGAAGTTTTAAAATATACATGCAGACGTGCAGAAATACATAAATTGAAACAGCAGAGGCCGAAAGCGGTTGAAAATCCCACGTTAGTGTATAAAGCTTCCCAACAGCTTTGAAATAAACAGATGTGCAGAAATACATAAACTAAAACGCATATTTTCACATATTTTTCGCATATTTTCACCTCTGCTTAATTAAAGCAGTATGGATAACAAAAGAAAAAGCAATTATAATCATTCTGACTAATATTTTTATCGGATTCGTATTTGCTCATTTGTTAACCATTTCGCATGAAGAAAATATCATCCGACAGATAAAAGGCTGATCTTTTCGAATATGAAAAAATCTCGGTTATACGCAGAGTAATTCAGATGTAATAGCGCGCTGAAATTCGATTACCTTTTTTTTATACACCCCGCATAATGAGGTCTCGCAAGAGTTTCTATAGGGGACATGGAAATAAGGCATATTTGGGGTACAAGAGACGGCAAAATCATAGGGGACAAGAGAACAGGCATGCAAGCTTGGAGAACAAGCTAGGGAACATGGCGAAATTTTTGGGGGGAACATGGCGAAATTTTTGGGGGAAACAAGGCAAACGTTTCAAGTGAAGACGGGAACACAGACTATGTGCACATGGTGACGTTTTCGAGCGTTTTCATTTGTGTTTTCACGCTAAAACGGATGCAAGCACTATCAATTTACGACAAAAACTGTAGTTTATTTAATATATTGGAGATATTTTCCTTTGGACCGTGTGAACAGGGCGTCAAAACGATTAAAGGGAGAAAAACGTTTTTGAAAACGCTGGAAAACGATGCCCGTGTATACACATAGCCACAGACACCCCTAGGAGACTCTATAATAATAATAATAATAATAATGCAATGTTCGAGACCCTCCTCCATAATGATCGCTTAATTCCAAATAATTTTAATACACATATACATAGCAGATTATATTATAGCCTATAGGACGCCCACATTCGATGGACGCCCACATTCGTATTTTCACCTCCCTAGGAGAGTAACATGGACACAAAATGCAATCTAAGAATTTAAAAAATGCTAATTTTAGCCATTAACGAGTTATAATTAGTCTTAACTGCTTGCCTTTAGAAAGAAAGCGGCTATGATGAAACGTTGAAGCACTTCTAGAAGAACTTAATATGTGAGGGTGCTTTCTTATCATTTTTAAATATGAGCATGCAATGACCATTTTTGGTTAGACTTTTTATTCCTTTTTTGGCAACTCAGGAAAAAGCTGGCTGTATATGGTCGAATTTCACCACAGCAGTGAGATTTCACGATCTTAGTTTTTGTTCAATTTAATGATAAAATTCTTCAAATGCCGGATATAAAGGGCAAGATAAAAATTGAAAGGTGAAATGTGCACAGATACACGTCATGTTCTCTGAAAAATGTCATGAAGGTTAAAAGAGAATAAGTGTTGACGAGACTTTCTTTTTATTTATTTATTTAATAATTAATATATATATTCTTAACGTTTGCCCAGGAGCACTAGACTCATCTAGGGACTTACATGTAATCATGGCCAGAAATGACGGACATTGTGCAAGCGTACCAGTCGGTCAGCGGCTTTTCCGTTTATCCACAAGAATTCCTAATTATCCTTTTACGACCTATCAAAGCATCCGGAATTTCAAATATTCGCGTGGGTGTTGTTTATAAAGCAAAGCATGAAGTATGCACTCAAGTTGTGGCCTTTAGTTTACCAGGCCCAGGATGTAGCTAAGCAATGACTACGGGAACGAAAAGAGAAGCTTTCGACGAGTATTTTGGTACCAAACATGTAGCAAGGCAATCAATATTTCGAGTTGGGCAAGCGAATGGAATATCACTTTTCGACCGCGATGTAATATTATAATATGCATATTATTAACGCACCGGCTTGCGAATTTCAAAACAAAAAAGCAGAGCTTTTATCCGGTGTAACAAAATAATAAACGGCGGGAGGAAAGGCTATACTATTCGTCAAAATAAAATGATTTCAACAAATTTCGATAATTGAATATATTACGAGATATAGCCTTTTGAGCGAGAAACCTTATAGATTCCTATGTAAAGTGAGGTAAAATGTTGCCGGTAATACTCAATCGCAAAAAGCCGAGAGCGAGTATGCAAAGAAATGAGAACTTTTTTTCTTAATTAATGTGTTACTATACGATCGCTACTTCTGGAACCAATTTCAACAAATATTCAAAGACTTATATATAGCATGCTATACAAGTTGAAAATACTCCGCTCACCTGATAATAAACATAGGGCATTACATTTACATTAATTTTACAAAGTTCGAGACAGACATATACAGTATAGAAACACACATATGTATTAAGTTAATTAATCAATGAGAGTCGTTGTCAACCACAATGTATTTGTTTACTAACCTTTGGAAGTGACAAATAGCAACAAATGACGATTATAAACATTTCTTTGGTGACATTTTAGTAAAGAAAAGTTAAAATGAGCAAATATAACCATAGGATTGTAGTAATATATTATGGATTGAAAACCAGGCGAAACATCTATTATTCCGCCATTAAAACGGCCGCCAAGCACAGGGACGGCTGGACGCCGGAACGATGTGAAGGCAAGGGGGGCAGATTTTCGTGAAAGGGCACTTTTGAATTGATATACTGTATACTATAAAGAGATGTTTGCAAAACATCGGGAGTTGAACTTCGCCTAATCATGTTTTCTATTTATTGGATGATAGGGGTGTGAGGGAGTTCTCCGCCAGGCGATTGTGTTATTCCTGAAGCTCGATGACTGCATTTCTTGCGTTTCCTTAAGCAAATTCGTAAAAGATTTACACTAACATTTCTGACAATTCGCTATTTTGCCAAGGCAATCCTTTAAATTGAAAGGGCACCTTTGCCCCCCTTGCCCCTCCTGGTAAAGGGCAACGGGGGCGGCTGCCCCTCCTGCCCCCCCCCCCCAGTTCCGGCGTCCCTGGCCAAGCAGGTTTGGGCGCACAATGCATTGGGGTTGACAATGCGGACTCTTTAAAGAAAACGTTTAGATCCCCTAATGTATTGTTGAATATGCTCAACTATCTCAGTATTGTCTTTGGGTTCTAAATTAGATGAACTAAACATGAGTACTCACTTTTCGCATGTCAGATAAACGACACCAACTATCAACTCTTAAAGGTGATCTACAGTCCGATCTGCGCATGTGCACAAATGAGCCCACTTTTTATGATACAAGCAGTTTAACTATGTTTTGAATTCTTGAAAAGCCTGATTGTTGTTTCTTGATCATTTATTATACTCTAGAAGCTTGAAAATATAAATAGTTGTCAAATAAAGCTCAATATTTTGGACACAAAAATGTAAACAAAGGCTTTGTTTACATACCGACTGTAAATCACCTTTAAACGGTGAATGAATGAACTTTTCCAATGGTCTCGCTTTCATGTTTGCTTGTTTTAGCATGGCAGGCACCATGGGCGTACCGGAAGGAAAAATTTAGGGGGGCGGAAAGAAATTTTCCCGACTTTTCCGGATTTTGCCCGACACGTACCGAAAAATTTTTTTCCGGAATTTATTTTGGCGACCTCCCCCCCCTCCCCCCCCTCCCCCCCGTCGCCAAAAAAATTTCGGTCAGTGTGTACCATTTTAGGGGGCAACAAATTTTTCCGGACATACCAAAATTTTTCAGAACCTAACAAAAATTTTCGAAACGTCACAAAATTTACCACAAAATTTACAGAATTTGTCCCATTTACTTTTTATAATAAACCAAAATTGCCCGACTGTTCAGCGAATATTGCCCGACTGCCCAACAAACTGGAGGGGGGGGCTGCCGGGGGGCAGGCACACATGCTTACGCACAATGGAGTTAAATCTGTGCTTAACTCGATTTTGTGCGTAAAATATGAGGAAATAACCACATGGCACATGAAACCGAGGCCATTCAAGCAAGAGCGCAATAAACATTACAGTCCATTGAAGCGAATTAGAGGAGCCTGTACCGGGTTCCGAAATCCCGCCATCGCAACCGATTCCACCCGTTTCGCTAATTCTAAATGGGTACATAGCCGTAATTCTAAATTTTAGAATGCGGG